CATGGCACAATGAAGAAGGCCTAAGAGTACAACAGCCGAAATGTTGTGATAAACATGGCGACAAAGATATTGACAATAGTCAGAATAATGTACATAATACCACATCTCAGAAATATAGACAGATACTGTAGATTTATATATAGTTTTAGAGAAATTAGGAAATATCATTTTCAAAACACATCATCCATCAGGAGAATCAAAGCACGTGCTATCTAATAAAAAGGTCACTTTATTAGTAATCATAAAATTCATTATTTCCCCCCTATCATTACACTACTGTTATACAAGGAAATAAAGAAAGATAATCTCATAAAATTATCAGTTTACCACATTCTCAAAATATCAAATTGGAATGGTCAACCATTCAAAAGGTATGAACACACCTATGTGACGAATCAGTACCAAATCTCTAATAGCCCAGTTCTAATTATAGAGTAATTGATAGTATTTCTAACAAAAAAAAGAGTATTTATTTACTTACTTATTTAGCAATGGTTGCTGTTATTGGCTGTTAAAGTTTTTACTTAATGGTTTTTTCAAACTCAGTAGCATGTGACAATAACATAAGAGAAAAAAATATCCTGGGATAGTCTTCAAAAGGTTGTTTATTATGAAGTGTTTCTTTCATTAGGAATGTATATTGTTGCTACAATAGCAACAACCATTGAAACCTTTTTTCCCATTTAATAAGTATATCTATTTCATGAGAATATAATAAACTCCTTTTATGTCAATGCATATGTATATTAATGACAGACTGAATATTATACAGGGAAAATCTCAGATCAGAATTTAGTTAATAACTAGATGTTAAGCTGTGAAATTATGAAAACACTTTTGGGGAGGACAGAGATAGAGAGTTGTAAATGCTTATTAATTGTGGCAGAGAGATTCCAAGACCTTCCCCACTCACAGACAGTGAAATCAGAAAATAGTAACAAAACATAGATATAGCCATAAACTTTCTCCAGAAAATTATTCATTAATAGGTTTTTTTTAATTTTTACAATTTTTTTTGCTTGAACTAGAAAAAGAACAAAAAACCCTCAAATTTTTATCTGAAAAGAAGAAAAACAAAAATACTTAATAATGCTTATATAGAATTTGACTGCTGCAAAGCCAGTGTAAGCTCATTGGATCCCCAGAGAAGACACAAATCTCCACTTAAGAAATATATTTTTAATTAATAAAAATTAAATGAATTAAAACAAAAACATTTCAATATTCAATGAGCAAATTTATTTTCTTAGCTTTTTCCCTTTACAATTTGAAAACTCAGACCTTTGTGTCTTTGAGGAAATTTATTACTTATAATAATAATAATTATTTCTATTTTTAAAAATATATATTTTACTCCTGTGAAGTATCTTAGAAAGTAGCTTTAGATGAAAAAAAAAATTTGAATGCTACTAAAGCTTTACTAATTGGAGCAACTTTGTGAAAGTTTGGTAATTCTGAAGTTGGTGGGTTCTAATATATATCTTCTGTGTTGCATCCCTTCAGGGGGCGATCATAGCTTTCCACAACTTCCTGTATTTTGTGGCTCTTAGTAAGGTTTGTCATTTTGGTATCTCTTATAAATACTGTCCTGCCAACCATTTACATAATCTCATCAGGTAGGTTATTTGTTAGTACCTATTAGGCTTCGTAATGTTATTTATATAAGAGGGGTATGGCACATTTTACAAGTGTAAGATTGAAAAGGGTTTGGTTTCAATGGTAAGAAACCAGTGTTTATTGGTCACTAATAAAAGAGTCAGCTGGTCTATTGGGCTAGCCAAAAGGTTTATTCTATTTTTGTTACTAGATGACATTAAAATATCTTTAGACACAAATCAGTCAGTTCTTTGCTCAGAAAGATAAAGGGTTCAGAGAGAATGGAATTATGAAACTGACTGAAATATTACAGAAGATAGTGGAATAATTAATTTTTAAGAAAAGATTTAGCTTTTATTTTATTTATTTATTTTTTTTTTTACTTCATAGTGATACAAAATCTGAACAAATACTCAGATAAGTAATAATTACATTATAAAGTTTTACAGATGCAGAATGGAAACTACAAGAACTCAAACAGAAGATAGTAAAGGAAAGCAAAAAGAAAGGACTAAACATCAATTGCAAGTCAATGTATGATTGTAAGTAAAAGAAACAGCCCAACATGCAAATTATAATTTCAGGACACCAAAATCAATCAAGTACAACTATTTAAATATCTGGTACATGTTTTAATAGAGGACAGAAAGTGCAACACTGCAATCAGAATATGCATTGGGATAGCAAAAGATGCCTTCCAAAAGAATTAACAAACAGGGAAACAAAAGAAAATAGTACTTAACTGTTACATAATATTGGTTCTCCTATATGGCAGTGAATGCTGGACAATCTCATCACAGATGAAGAAAAGGCTTGAAGCAACAGAAAAGTGGTTCTACAGAAGGATACTGAGAATACCATAGTTATAGAGAAAATGGTAACAAAAACGACGCTTAACATAAAAAAAGATACAGATGAAATTTCTAGGGTACATAATGAGGAAAGAGGGCTGAGAAAATTTGACACTCACAGGATATATTGAAGGCAAGTGGTGGTAAAGGAAAGCAGTGCATAACCTACTTAATAACGACAGCAGAGGATTTAGGAGAGATGGGGAAAAAGACAAGAGATTGTGGACATGGTACATAGAAGAAGAGAAGAAATTGTATAGATTCCCATCAAATACAACCTAAAACAATTTTATCTTTATCAATAAGCCAAGATTAAAACTAATAATTTGCTTACATTACTTATCAATTTTTGGAATTCTACTCTGCAACTAATTATTCAGTTGTGCAATCAAAGTCTGTTATGGATAATTTAGGTATCTTTTATAAATTTGTATATGACTAAATTTTGTCTGTATATCCCCACAGTGGAACAAAACAGCCCAGCCAATACTGCTAATATAGAGAATTTACAATCAGTCTTTATATGTAAAGTGATTTGTACACGCAGAAATGAAACAGATTTTAACAAAACAGACGTCATGCTATACCTTAGGTAACTTTTCAACCAACACTTTTTCAAAGGTATATGTTGGCAAGTTGGAACACAAACAAAGAAAACTCGGTATAATAAATGAGGAGGGTAAGTTCGAATATGATTGCTTATACTTCTTGATTTTTCTTTTTCATATGCACTTTTAAAAAACGAACTAATGTCTTTTACAATATAAGTGGTAGCATTTAATTTGCACACACAACTATTAAAAGTATATTTTGATAAATATTTTGTTTGTGTTATTTTTAACTCAAATTTTAAAAACTGCAGTATATAAGCAATGTCTCTGTCAATAAGTTTTTGTTTTAATTCATGGTGTTTGTATAAAAAGAATTTATATCTCATAATTCAGTTATAAGTTAAAATATCTAGTGTTCATAATAAGTATTGTTGTCATTTGATATTTCTCATTAATACAACTTAGTCAAACAGAGTCCAAAAGAAATTTATGAAATTATCTAAATAAGTTAAAATAACTCGTTTAATTAGATTTTCTCAAAACTATACCGAATTATTTAAACAAGTGAAAAACGTAGCAAGTTCACATTTTTTTTTTAAATTAATATAAACATTAGGAAATTATTCAAATGTTTCTCTTATTGTCAGCTCTATATAGCTATGTCTAGAGTAGAAAATTAAAGTTTTTTTAGTATAATAATAAAAAAAAAACTTCAGATGTCTAACTGAAAATTACACAAATTTGATAGTGGTTGATGAACTTCTGACAACTTACTTTTCTGATTTATTGATTGATTGATTCATTCATTCATTCATTTTCTACACTTTGTAGGTTATTTAAAGCCAAAAAAATATTTTTAGATTGTAAGAAAAATTTTTTTTTTGGGGGGGGAGGGTGAAGATAATAAGGATTTTAGTGATACAGGTCTTACTAATTAACCCACAACTGAGAGAGAAGAGGTGAATTCATACCTTTCTCGGGGGTATTTGTGTGTAAGTGAATATAATGAACCCAACTGGAATTACAACTTGGCTCTCCAATTAACAATTCCAAACTATTATCCATTACACCATCCACACAAACAAGCACCTGGTATTTCCAAGTGGTAACCCATCCATTACAGCACCTGGTATTTCCAAGTGGTAACCCATCCATTACAGCACCTGGTATTTCCAAGTGGTAACCCATCCATTACAGCACCTGGTATTTCCAAGTGGTAACCCATCCATTACAGCACCTGGTATTTCCAAGTGGTAACCCATCCATTACAGCACCTGGTATTTCCAAGTGGTAACCCATCTAGGTACTGACCAGGCTCAATATTACTTAACTTTAGTGATCATACAGGACAAAAACTGATGTTTCAATGTGATGCGGACATAAACTAATTTACTTTTCTCTGTTCGTACAAACGGTATTTGGTTAATAATTTTTTTTCCCATAATTATTGGATTAGATTTGAATTTAGTGAGATTCAATACTAGTTACTTAAATATTAAACTTTAAGAATCATCTTGTCAATATTGTATTGAAGAACTGCAAATGAGAGCATATTTGTTTGGCAAATGATTAGCAAATACCAAAATTTTGCTTTCGGACTTTTTGTAAACTGTTATTTACTAAATACTTCTTCCCAAAGCAGCTATCACTTGTAATTGCCATGAAATTTACCAGCATATAAGCAAATTCTTCTATTCAACTAAAATAAATTGAATTTTCCTGCTTTAGTTGTTGGTTAATTTTACTTAGCAGCTTATCAATCAAGGTTATTTAATGCTGAAATCTAAATATTTTGTATGAAATTCTATAATTTCTTTGGCGATAATGGTTTTAGTGATACAAGTCTTACTAATTAACCCATAGCTAGGGTAGAAGAGGTAGATTCATACCTTTCCCAAGGATATTTATGCATAATTGATTATAATGAACCTGCCCAGAATTAGAACTCAGGTCTCTGATTAACAACTGAACCATTATCCATTACACCACCTGCACATTGAAGCTTACAGCACCTGGTATTCCCGAGCAATCACCCATCTAGGTACTGGCCATGATTGACATTGCTTAACTTCAGTGATCATATGGGAACCAGGGTTTCAAATTGTTGTGGCTGTAAGCCCTCCTTTAGCCTCAAGCTCATCATGAAAATGACTGCACTAGGAAATTTATATATTTCCTCAGTACTATTTAATATATACATCATTCAGATGGACATATCCTTTAAGGTAATCCTTAAAATAGGTGTTTTATGAAACTAATTTACTTAATGTACATTCCAAAAAGAAATTTAAAACAGAAACAATTTAATGAAATATAAATCATAAAAGTAACAGATAATACCACTTACATAAGAGATTTTGACATCTTGAAAAGAAACTAAAAAAAAAAAAAAAAAACTACCACATTAGGTTATTAGTACATACTAAATAGAAAAATCTCTGTCTCCACTGAATTTAAGTAAATGCTTATTAAGCATTTTGTAGATAATTGATCTCTGAAATGTATAGAGTGATAGACAAATGATTAGAGAAGACATGGGCAAACTGTGGCTCATTTGGTCTTTTTGAATGGCATACATAATAAGGAAGATAATGTTTCATAAAATTTTGTCTTGTTTCATTTGTTCACACACACACACACACACACACATTCATATGTTGCTTTCCCTCTATCTGCTCTGTGAGTATCAGATTTCCCAAGCCCTCCTTTCTTATTATGTGTCCCAGAAATTTCAGCTGCTTCTTCCTGATTTGAGTATAAGCTTCCTCCTTGTTTGCATCCTCTCCAAAACCTCATTTTTGCTCACATGTTCGGTCCATGGTATCCTTAGCATGCTTCTGTAGAACCATACCTCTGTTGCCTCAAGTATCTTCATCTTTGAGGAGACTGTCCAACTTTCCTCCAAGTAACCACATGCACAAATAATGATCAAGTACAAGGTCTCTAGAATTTTGTAAACTTTCAGTGAAAATAACATTTTCATCATTTTAAACTATTGGATATTTTCACTAAGGAAGATCATGTGTAAACATTTGTTTTTGAAACAGAAAACATTCATAATATTTTTTTCTCTAAAGAAGAAATGTTTTTATTTTCAAATGAATAAATTAGAAATGTGTTAATCACACTGTCATCTGTGACAATATTATAACAAAACTTCAATTTTTAATTATAGAAAAATCTTTTCTTCAAAAGAGAAAAAACAAAACCTTTTCCTATTTCTAAGGTATATGCTTACACATATGGTCTTCTGTAGTGAAAATAGCTGAGGTACATATGATTAAAAATTATCTTGAATCTTTTTAGTAGTGCAGCCTGCAGTGTGATGAGTCATGCGTCCCATTGCTCAAAAAAATAAATAAATAAATAAAAATAAAATGGTTGCTTATGTCTTGGTTAGAGCTTTAAACTGAGAGGCACAAGGGCTTCAGTTCAATATTATTAGTAGTATTATTTAAAGCCCATAATTTTTATTTTAACCGATTTCAATAAAATATGATAAGGACTAGTAAAAGGCAGTGGGGGGGGGCTTCTGACATATAATCAGCATCTCAAAGACCAAAATATATTTAGCACTGTCTAGGAATAAACTATTGCTCTCTGGTATTCTGTCTTGGATTCATGTAATGTCTGAGAAATTTCTTATACACAATTATCTATGTATATATGTTTTTTTATTACTTCAAAAACTATTTGTGTTGGATACCTGTGTTTGAAATAGATGCCCCATTTTATTAAACAGTGTATATTATGTCTACTGACCTGTGCACTCAAGAAAACTTAAAGAAAATGAGCTCTAAACTGTTTCCCCTTTTGTTGGAATAAACCACAATCTGATCTGGCATACTTTAGACTACTCAGGCACAGCAAGGTTATCCTTTTAATACACACTGTTTAAAAAAAATAGGACAACATGAATATCCACTAAAAATAAGGTTTGAAGTAATAAAAAAATTTGGTTTAAAAATAAAGATTCATTAATATTTTTTTTTTTTTTTTTTTAAATGCTTTCATTTATATTTTAGATACAAAATCAAGGAGATATGACCTTTTGAGAAAATTTGAACGAAGGAACATGCATTCCTTAAAAGGAGTCAAGAACTTTTATTTATCAGTATTTTACTATTCAGAAATAATTTCCTGTTATAGTTCCAGTGGCACTTTATATACCAAAGTTTTGATCTAAATGAATTTGTGCTATTTTTAACTTTACCTTTTTAAATAATATTATCCCATGATCCTCTGGAACACCTTATTTGAAACCATTGATATAAATAATTGTTTTAAACTATTTTCTCCACTATTTGATTTTGAATATAAATTTTAGAAAATAATGTAAAATTTTGAAAAAACAAACAAACATCTGTCAGGTAAGTGGGTGAATGTACTTTGTTTAGAATTAGTTTCTTCTTGTTTTGTAATTTTTTTATTTGTAAGCAACCATGTAATATCACTTTTCCAATAATAGTAATAATAACAAATTACACTACATATTTTGATTAACCGCATTACTTAGAACAATTACTTTGCTACTTATTGTAAACATAAAGACTGTCTTAGTTGGCAATAAGTGACAGATGGCTATAAAAAGGCACTGTAGGTTATTTATGATTAATTTTAGTAACAAAAGAAAGAAAGTGATTGACTAGTGTTGATGTCCAATACTTGCATGTCAAGATGGCCAGAACCCCTAAACGACTACACAATTGCAGTATCATTTCTTATTCGTTTCTAACCTTACTATTTTAAATGGGTGATGTGTTGTACTCTGTATACAAAACAATTATGTCTTGTTGTAATGTACAACAAAAGTGTGTTAAGATTGTGGGGAACGCCAAACAATTGCTCTCCCAACAACTATGAGGGTATAGGCAAAGAAGTGAAAGAGATGGGAAGTAACAAAATTAACACTACCTTGGAAACCACAGCAACTTTAGGAACATGGAACCAAATTCACAACTGTTGGTTTTTCCCTTTTGCTTTTATTATTAGCATAAGGCATCTTACAAAAATCCGGATCATGACCAGTTGTAGAGAGGCCCGTATCTAGACATGCCCAGCTGTCCTGCTGGTGATGGGGAAAATCTCGATGTAACTGGTGTTGACAAACATGTCTGTATGTGATCCAGGGCCTCTTTTGCATCTGTACAGACAAGCGTTCATCACAATATCTCATTTTCTTTAGTCAACATAAGAAATATCAAAATTTATTGATTATGAAAAGAAAATTTATTTGAGAACACTAAATAAAAAAAAATTAATATATTTCGACAATGAGAATGCCGGATTATCACAGGAAAAGCAACAACTGAGCAGTACGGAAAATGAACAAGAGGAGAAATCCCTAGACATGAGCAGTGGAACGAGAACCATCAACATCCATAGATTGAATAAAGTGTTCAATTTGAAATTACTGGTAGGTTATCCTAATGGCACAATACCTGAAATATTGTGATAACAACAACAAAGACGAGGACAATAATTTGCATTTAAAAAATGTAAATAATGATTATCACTTCTTGAAGATTGTAAAATACCTAATTCTAATGAGAGTGAATGTCCTGAATATAACAGCGAAACTTAAGTTTTTTTTCAACATAAGACTACAAAATGAAAGCATTTATTGTTAATATTCACTTTAACCGTTTTATTCTTTTTTTCCAAATTATGGCTTTATAGGCATCAACTGCTATTAAATCCCCCACCCCGAGCGACATTTTTTCCTGATTTTCCTTTGCAATTAACCTGTATATTTAAGTACATTTTTCTAAAACTTGAACCTTCTTATTTTTTTCTTTTAATTCTTAGATTTTATCCATCTAAGAAATTACTCCACAAAGGATATCATTTTTTTATATATAAAGATACAAATACGTTATTCAGAAGGCTTTATAGCACATTAATATTGGGTATCTTGTTATTGTATGTGCTGAAAAAAAAAAAAAATTTGTGCAATGATGCTTTCGTAGTTATTAGCCAAGTCAGTAATCAATAACTTAATTGCAAGTTTCTTTTCTTATCTTACATAAAGCAACCATTTTTTTCATCCTCTAGATAAGGATGTAAATGCCTTTCACATAATTCAAAGAAGTAAAATATATGAGTTTTTGTCACTAGAATATTGCTGGTCATATAAACATTTTTTTATTTTTAAAATATACTTTGGTATACATTGGTAAGACTAACAGGTATAGCCATATTTCACTTTGCAAGGCTTTCATCATGTATGAATAAAAATCTAAAAATATAGCATAACCTGTTTTGTGCATAACAAAGCAAAGGACATTGATTGGCAAACAGTCTTAAAAGGGCAAGTATGAATTCAAAGCCAGGAGTGGAATCCACTCATGCTCCAGCTATAAGGTAACCTTTATCATTCTGTATGTGACATCATTTGCTGTACAAAAAGTTTATCCTGCCACTGAAGGTGACTGATTCTTGAAAAATAGTGTTTGAATTTCATAGTTATGTTGTCATATCCTGCTATGGTAACAGAAAACAACTTTGAGTGAAATTAACAATAAGAATACTGCAGAGTGCTAAAAGGTTATAAAGGAATTCTCCATGTTTATTTTAAATTTAAAATATCTAAATTGAACAAAAGTCTGAAAATTTGTTTGTTGATCAGCCATTATGAGAACAAGCAAAGCTACACTGTATCAGTTTGACCTTCCTCCCATGCATACAGCCAGAGGTATGGGAGGGTATTAATGAAACGAAATCTGAAAGATAATTTCACTTCTTAATTGGCACCAACTCCTTACTAAAGTCTTCTCATTCTTTCACTCTCAGTAGGCCCTTGCGTCTGAGTGACATTATCATTTTGCTTAGGATGAAATGACAAAGAAAAAAATAATCACGGTGCAGGACATTACAGAAACCCCTCAACAACCTGAAGACCATGAGTGGCAAGAATGGAATCTACTCTTCGTAAAATCCATGCAGTCAGAGACATCTGTGGGATAAGACAAAATGGCTACTGCCTTCAGGAATAGAAAATATATATATATATATATATATGAAACAGACATATAGCATGAAACAGACTATCGCCTCTAAGTGTTGACTGCTATGTTCACTTTTATATTTACACACGCTCTATCTCTGATATTG